ACTGCCAAGCAGTCAGTTCAGTGAGCCACAGATCCCAGAGGATGGGCATAAAGAAAGTGAAACCACAGCAACTTCCAGCTTACCAGGCCTGTGTGTGAACAGAGCACAGGCACCTGCAAACCACAAAATCCCTTCATTCACGGGGATCCTAGAACTCTCCAGAGAGCTGGCTGGAGAAGAGACACCTCACAGTCCTGGGGGCAACTGAGCAACCCCTCAGTGAATGCTGGGTTATAACTGTCATCCAGGAGAACAGAACTCAAATTAGAGCCTCTCCATAGTCCTCCCCAATTCATCCCTATATTCCTGGGCTGGTGCTCCTCAGCCTCACTGACAGCATGAGCAAGTCACACTGGCAAAGGGAAGCTGTGCCCACTGGAACACTCACCAGAGCTCACTCACACTCACCTTGACAGTGGAATTGGTCCCTTTCTGCTTGGGTGCCTTTCCAGCCTGCAGGCCCTGAGCCCCAGGGGAGGTCTTGGTCTCAGGCCTGCTTTGGGGGGCTCCCTTGGCAGGAGGCAGCCCAGACGGACTCGCTCCCTGCCCTGCTGACAGCAGCTCCTTGTTGCTGTCCCAGGCCTGGGAACCTGCTGTGGCTGCTGGCAGCTGGCCAGGAGCACCACTGCCCCATTCCACATCACCCCTGGCTGTTCCTCTGTGCTCAGGGGTTGTTCCATCCTCCACCTTGTCCCCCGGGGCTGTGGCACTGGGAGCTGAGGCAGCCCCCCCGGCTGTGCTGCTCTGCTCTGCAGGGCTCAGTCTCTCTGCTTCTGGGCTGCCAGCTTCCTTCTCCAGGTGTGCCAAATTCCTGTTGCCTTCAGGTGTGTCTCCACTGGCATCACTACATCCATCAGCACCTGGTTTTGCTCCCTCACCGCTGGGAGGTTGGATTTCTTGAGGAGCAGCACTTGTGTCATTCAACTCTGTGGTTTGAGCTGGTGCTGTGCTTTGAGGAAGCAGAGAGTCCTGTTCCCCAGAGATGGACTTCTTTTCTTTAGTCTTCTTCGCTTTCTATTAAAAAAACAAAACCCATAATTTCTGTTTATTCATTGCCAAAGGGAAACTCTTTATCACCTCATCCATTGCAGCAAGTACAGACATCTTCCCGCTACATGGGGCTAACAGAGAATGATCAGGAAGAGGAGGGACAAGATCAGCCAGTGAAATGCAAATAACTCTTGAGAACTGTGTAGGTTTAATATTCAAGACTTGCTCAGCAGGAGCACAGAGCAGCACTGCAGTGTCTAAGCTGACTCGTGTAATTTGTGGTTTCCCCCAGCACCGCAGCTCCGCACGGCGTCAGCAAACACAGCGAGCTTCTCCTGGAGGAAGCCAGGCAGCAGCTCCCCGACGTGGCCAAAGGGAAGTGGGGGATGCAGCCTGGCCTCCTCACTTCACACATGAGAGCAACAAGTCACAGCTGCTCCCCAGCAGGACCCTCACCTTTCTCTCCAGGGAAGCCACCTCAGCAGAGTCTCCAGCCCCACGCTCAGCCAAGGGCTCTGCGTTGCTCTCTGGAGCTGTGACATCCTCCAGCAGTGAGGATCCCTCTTCCTCCTGCCATGTCTCAGCAGACCTGGGAGATCCACCTGCGGTGTCAGGTGTGGTGTCAGGCAGAGCTCTTGCTCTGTCCATCAGCGACTCGCCCTCTGTCTCCTTTGTTTCAGTGGTGGAAGGAGGCCCAGCAGCACCTTCTCCCTTCACCTCTTCCTCTGCAGCAGGGACTGCAATTATCTGCACCTCTCTTCTCTCTGAAATGGATGGAAATAGATCGTTAAACTGGAAACTCACCCCCCAGTGGGGTCGCAGGATGATTTGGGTTGGAAGGGACATTAAAGCTCATCTTGTTCCACCTCTGCCACAGGCAGGGGCACCTTGCACTGGACCAGGTCACTACAAGCCCCTGGGTGGGGGAGAGAATTAGAAAAAAAGGCAAAACTTGTGGGTTGAGATAAACACAGTTTATAGGACAGAAAATTACAATAACCATAAGTCCTTGGCTGAGCCATCTGACTGTTATCAACAGCAGCCTCCCCCTGAGCCCAAGCACAGCTCTGAACCCGCTCCTGGGAACAGCAAACTGTCCCAGCCGAAGTCATGAACACACAGGACCTGTTTGTTTCTCCCTGTTCAGCCCTCACGAGCCATGCCACCACACTCCCTTACAGCCTTCTGCCCTCTCCAAGGCCCTGCCAGATGCAGAATAATTAAGCATTGATGTAGAGCTCCATCCCTGTCCCTCCTGCAGACACGGATGCAGCAGCAGTGCTGGTAACCAGCTGCCTGTGCCAGCGCCTGGAGCCCAGCATGAGCAGTGACAGGACAGCGGCACCTCCCACGCTGGCACAGCCTTCTGGGGTGGCACTGTGACTGCTCCCACTCTGCTGAGGGCTTTCCAGGAAGGCAGAGGAAACTCTTTTTATCTTCACAGCTTTATCCAGTCCTTCAAAAACATGTGGAAGAGCTCCAGGCCCAGTCAGGCAGCAGAGCAGATCTCTGCTTTCTGCACGGGTTTCACAGGCTCCTCCACACTGCCTTCACCCCAATTCTGAGAGCAAAAGCTTTGAACCTCAGCTACTTTGGATGTTCTTCCCACAGTATTCCAGAGCTGGACATCCCAGGTGTGTTTTCCTGCCATGCTGGAGTGCAGAGGGATTTGCTAAGAATTGACCCTGTTGGGACTGCAGCAGCTTGATTCTGATTTAGTGTGCTTTTCTAGGATCACATTCTCTCTGTCAACAAACCAAAAGCCATTCTGGTGGCTCGGGTCATTTGGTGTTAAAGAAAAGGATTAGAAAACATTTCCCCCAGCATAACTGTGTTGTGTACTTGAATCTGTTCAGTGAGGCTGAATTAGTGTGTTGTCAAACACAACTCAAGGGTGAGTTCTAAATCTAACAAGCTGCAAATCAGAAATTCTGTGTCAAGAAAGACTCAACCAGTCTTTTAACATAAAAAGCAGCATTACTTCATTGCCAAAACAGAAACCAGTTAACCAGTTCAACGCTAGAGACATGAGTGTGGAGACTGTGTGTAGGATGTGTCACCAACTGAATCACTTCTCTGTCTCCTGACAGTCACTGCAAAGTGAAGAAAACTCTCTCTGGTCAGGAATGCCAGTGGAGGTTGAGATGAGAGATTGGGAGGGGAGTCTGGGATGAGAGCAGAGTGGAATGAGCTGCGCAGAGCGGAGCCCAGAGCCACACGGGCTCAGAGGTGACGCAGGCAGCCTGTGGTCAGTGTGCAGTCCCCGGGCAGCCCAGCCCGGCCGAGTCCCGCGGCCCAGGGCCGGTGCCCAGCGCGGCCCCACAGCGCTGCAGGGCCCGGCAGGCCTTGCCTGGCACCCAAGGGGAACAGACAGGGCCGGGGCAGACACAGACACCTGCACAGCGTGAGGCAACACAGCCGCGTCACCTCCTCCTCTGCCCTTGTATTGTCACGAAGGGACCTGCGACACTGGAGAGCCGGGAGGGGAGCGTGAGGGGAACCACAGCGCGTAAAGGCAAACAAACACAAACAGCCAGCGCTCCTCCGCGCTGAGGGCCCGTGCTCCTACCGAGGGCCTGGCTCCCCTTTCCCGAGCCCTGCCTGGGGCTGTTCCGCCGGTTCGGGGGGCGGGACCGGGTCTAGCGGCGGGGCCGGGCCGGTTCGGGGGCCGGGCCATGACCGAGGGTCGCGGCCCGTGGGCGGGGCCTGCCCAGTGGGCGGGGCCCGTATGCAAATGAAGCCGCTCTCGCCCCCCGCGGACTGGCAGCTCTCCGCCCACTCGGGAGATATGCAAACGAGCAGGGTGGATGGACCAATGGAGTGGCGAAGGAGCGGCCGTATGCAAATGAGACAGTTATGTGATGAGGGGCGGGGCTAGCGCGGCTCCCGGGGGGCGCCGGGATGGCCCCGGGGGTGGGGGGGCACCGGGAGAACCGGGGGGGAGACGGGCAGAACCGGGGGCACCGCGGGGTAGCGGCGTCCCGGGTGAACGGGGAGGAGGAGATGGGAGTCCCCGGGGACGCACCAGAGGGCTCCGGGCGGATTGACGATCAGAGTGCACCGGGGAAATGGGGGCGCACGGAGGCGCTCCGGGGGCACCGGGAGGGTGCAGCGGGACCCGGAGCTCGCAGTGCCGCCTGCCCCGGACCCGCGACTGCCCCTGCCCCGCAGCCCCCCATGCCCGGCACCCCCGTGCCGCCTCTCGCCCCGGCAGCGCGACTTACCGAGTGACCGGGCACCGGCACCTGCAGCGCCCGCTCGTCCCCCGGCTCCGCCGAGTCCCGCCTGGAAAAGTTTCGTTTCTCCGCCGAGCCGCCAACTTTCGTTTTTGCAGTCACGGTCCCCGCCCAGCCCGGACCGCCCCGGCCAATCCCGGCCCCGGCCACCGCCCCCGGGCGGCTCTCGATGGGTCCCGCCCCGCCGGGCATCTCTGGGGGTCCTTCCCGGTACCCCCCGAGCATCCCCCCACCCATCAGCCCATCAGTCCCCGGTCGGCAGCAGCAGGGCAGCGCAGGTGTGTTGGAGGAGAACACTTTCTGCTGGTCCCGACAAACAAAAGCGGATTCCGCAGTCAAAAGTAGGGGCACGGCTGGTGCCCCATCCCGGATCCGACCAGGACCAAGCCGAAGTCCCAGCAGCCCTGCCTTTCAGTAGTGCTCACACAGGTTTGAGCACGCACACATTCCTAAACAGCCAGCCCGCTTCACCCCCATGTCCGTTTTCCCCCTCCCGGCATCCCCATGGTGCAGCAAGAACTCACAGCTCAGTGCGCTCCAGGGCAGGACCCAGAGTCCTGGCAGGTGTGTGGCTCCCGGGCACCCGTGCTGCCCTTCCAGCACCTCCGGCGGCAGGAGCTGTGCAGAATGTGCCCTCGGGCTCGGCTCACCCGCACTACCCCAACCTGCTTTCAGTTTCTTTTCCCTGGCAGGCTCAGCAGCACCCAGAAGATAACTCCCCTTCCCACACAAAAGGAAAAAGCTTTCCCTCAGGAAGGCAGAGATCACACTGACTCATTAGCAGTTTCTGATTTATTACAACCTCGCTGTCGGCCGAGGGCAGTTCAGGGAAATGGAATTCCTGACCCTGCCCAGCCCCACCAGGTGCTGTCCCCATCACACAGCCTGGTGTCACCGTGCCTGTGCCCTCGGCAGGGCCCAGGCCAGGGGCTGCACCCCAGGGTGACAGCCCAGCCCTGACCCGTGTGTTTGGGGCAGTGTTTGGCACAACACCCCACAGACAAGATAAGGATAAAAAAGGTAAAGATAAAAATCAGTAAGGAGCACAATCCCAGATGTTTTCCCTCTCCCAGCAGCTGGAGGCTGAGCCCCTGTGTTCGCTTGGAGGGCAGCAGAGCAGCCCTGAAACAGCTTTGAGAGCGCAGCCTACATCACCACTGGAGTGGCACAGAACATGGAAAAGTCCAGAATTAAAACAGTTGTTTAAAAAAATGAGAGCAGCTCCCTGGAGGAAGGATGGCTTTGCACTGGTCACTGCGACAGGGAACAGTTCTGTCCCACAGCCCGTGTGGGGCTGGGCTGGTGCTGCTCTGTCCATCTCAGTGTGGGACATGGGGACAGTCCATCCCCACGCCCAGAGGCCTGCCTGGGGCAGGTGGTTCCCACGGAGGCTGTTGGTGTCACTGGGGTGGCACAGGACACTCAGCCCAAACTGGTCTCACTGGATGAGCCCGGTGCTCTCGGCGGTGCCGATGAGGGGCTCTGCCCTGCTGCCCCCCGGCTCTGCTCCCCCGCAGTGCTCTGGGACAGGAGAGGGGGAAGCAGAGTCAAGGCAAGGCTCATGTCCTGGCTCTGGCTGGAACAGAGAGAATTTTATCCCCAGGAGTGGGTTCAGAGCTGTGCTTGGGCTCAGGAGGAAGCTGCTGTTGATAACAGTCGGATGGCTCAGCCAGGGACTTCTCAGGCTCCCAGGCTGCCTGGGCAGTGAGGAGCTGGGAGGGGGCAGAGGCAGAAGAGCTGCCCCAGAGCCCAGAGGGATCTTGCAGAGCACAGGGCATGGTGCTGAAGGAAACACTGCAGGGATTTGGCTGAGGGGCAAGGGCCACTGCTCAGGGGCTGGCTGGGCATTGCTCAGAGGGTAGTGAGCAAGCACCCTGTGCATCACCTGCTTTGGATATTCTTTTATGGTTATTGCAATTTTCTTTTTCTTTTCTGTCCTATTAAACTGCCTTCATCTCAGCTCAAGAGTTTTACCTTTTCTCTGATTCTGCCCCACCCCTCTGCAGAGGAAGTGAAGAGCTCTGTTGTGCTGAGCTGCTGCTGGGTTGAATCACCAGAGCTGACCACAAATCCCCTAGGCTGGGGAGACCCAATTCTTGGGAGGGGCTCCAGCTCACCCTCCCAGGAGCCCCTGCAGCCCCCACACTGCTGCCCTGCAGCTGGACAGGTCAGATCCCCATGGGAGTCCTCCAGAGCCACACTGATCCTGTCCTGGGAGAGCAGCCCAGAGCCTCACCTGCCTCCTCCCAGCTGGGGAAATGCTGGAATCCTTCTAAGCCTGCAGACAGGAGGACTTGGAGAACGGGGTCCTGAGGGCAGAGAAACCTGGGCTGGGGGAGTGCTGGCCATTCCCCATCCCCCCGGGGCAGAGCCCCCAGCCATCCCAGCAGGAGCACCCAGCCCTTCCCAGCGCACCAGCCTCCAGCTCTGTGAGATGGAGGTGCTTGGGATAGTGACGGGCCACCAGAGAGGCCAGCACAGAGCTCGGGAGGGCAGCTAAGCTGAGCCCATCAGCCACACCCTCGCACACACCTGCAGGCCACAGAAGGCCAGCGAGAGGCCGTGCCTGCGCAGCTCCTGCAGCAGCTCTGCCAGCCCCAGCACCGCCGTGTAATCAATGCTGCTGACGTGGCAGCAGTCCAGCACCACAGAGCGTGCTGGAGATGCTGCTGGAAGAGCACAAGGTCATGTCCCAACATGTCCCGAAATGAGCAGCCTAGGGGTCCCAGCCCTCAGAGCCAGGGCAGGGCGGGCAGGGGTGGGACAGCTGTGCTGTCACTGCTCGCACACGCAGTCCCTGGTGTGGGTGGCACGGCTGCCACCCACACCAGAGCGATGCAAGCGGTGACAGCCGTGTCCCCAGGACACGCTGGGAGCACTGTACCTGCCAGAGCACGGCTGCACACCGAGTCCCTCAGGTGCTCCACGGCTGGGAAGTGCAGGCTGCTCCCTGGCTGTACCAGCAGCACGGCCCCCTCTGACACCTGTGGGGGGAGACAGCCACAGGCAGCTCAGGGCTGTCACCTTCCCCAGGCGGGGACAACTGCCCGTGTCACCCACTGCCCTCCTGGATGGAGTGGGAGAAAGCAGGAGCCCCCATCCCTCAGGGAAACCCTCCTGCACACAGCCCAGTGTCAGCAGGGCAGGGACAGCAAATGCCTCCCTCTCCTGATGTCCAGTCTGAGGCTATTCCCTTCCTCCTGCTCTTTGAAAGGGGTTCCTGTGCCGTGCCTGTGGCAGAGTGGGGACAGCAAGAACAGGTCAGGAGCATCCTGCACCCCAGTGCCCTCAAGAGTTCCCTCCCAGCTCCCTGGCCCTGCCACATCCAAGGGACTGAGAAGTTGACTTGTAAGGAATTCTCAAAATCTGACAGAAAGCTCACACAGTTTCATACATGTGTGTGCAAACTCTGAGATGAGCCGGTCTGGCTTAGGAAGGCCATGGAACAGAGATGACATTGTTGAGAGAGAGATTGAACTAGAAACAAGTTTCAACAAGTTTCAAATGATGGCCTTGCAAAAACACCAGATATTTTAGAGAATCAGAACTGTGAAAGATGCATTGTGGCATTACATGGGGTAAAAATACAGGTCATTGGAGTTAGCAGTAATAGCAGCATTGTGTGGCTAATAGGCTGAAAAACATTTATAAGGTATTGTAACCAAAAAATAGGTTGGCTTCTAATGGAATGGCATTGAGTAATACATCTCTTATGTCTCACCCTTCATCAAGACTGATAATGGAATAAAATCTTTTAAAACGCCTCTCCATTGCCCCATCTCTGAAAAGCTGGGAAAACCAACACAAGGGCAGAGGTGGAGCTCACCTTTATCGGGGGCCTGGCAATGGAGTAGAGCAGGAGCACCCCAGAAACCAGCACCCCGGCTACGATTCCATACTGGACCTCCCAGAAGCAGAGCAGGAATGTCACACAGAGGGGCACAAGGTCCAGCCCTGCAAGAGAGAAGCCAGGCTCGGCTGTGGCTGGTCCTGGTGCCACAGGGTGCAGGTGGCTGGGGCAGCTTCGGTGGGGTGGAGCTGCAGGTGGAGCTCTGGGTGGGAGCCCTCAGAAGGGGCCATGAACTGTGAACTGTCCCCGTTGCATGACAAAGGACCCAGGAACCGTGGCACACCATGGGACACTTAAGAGAGGAGTGATGGGACACTCAGAGACAGTGATGGGACATTCAGAGACAGTGATGGGACACTCAGAGATGGTGATGGGACACTCAGAGACCAGCCCCAGACTTTTGTATGCCTGTAAGGTGATAAAAGCTCACAGGCTCCTTTGTTCTGGATCCCTCCTCAGAAACACCCAACTCAAGCTGTTATTCTGTTATTTAGTTATGGCACCATGATTAAATTATTTTAAGGATCTGGACACATGAAACTCTACTATGGGAAACCTGGGGTAGAGCCGGAGAGGAAAGCTGGTCTGTGTGAGTGGGGTAGGGGGGAGCCGTGAAGGGGCCTCAGTCCCAGCTCAGGGGGTGAGTGTGACTGCCAGAGTGGCTCCTGGATGCTGGACTGGGAAGTTTCCTAAACGGGGATTGCTCACTGCCCACGGATGCCCTCACTCTTAACCCGCCAGAGCGTCCGGAAGATGCCAGCGTCGAACATGGGCACCACGGCCGAGATGATGACGGCGGCCAGCGCCGCTTTGGGGATGTAACAGAAGAGAGAGGTGAGGTACGCCAGGGACAGCAGGACCAGGGCACCTGCGGGAGGGGTGGACCCTGAGCACCCCAGCACCCAAGGGTCCCCACACCTAGAGATCCCAACACCCAGAGATCCCCACACCCAGGGATCCCCAACACCCAGAGATCCCCACACCCAGGGATCCCCAACACCCAGGGATCCCAAACACCCAGGGTCCTGCCACCCAGGGGTCCCCAACACCCAGGGGTCCTGACACCCAGGAGTCCCTGGCACCCAGGGGTCCCTGGAACCCAGGGATCCCCAACACCCTGGGATCCCAAACACCCGGGGTCCTGACACCCAGGGATCCCCAACACCCAGGGGTCCTGACACCCAGGGCTCCTGACACCCAGGGGTCCCCGGCACCCAGGGGTCCCCGACACGGGCAGCAGCCCAGGGGCAGGGCAGGACCTGTGAGGAGCCCTCCCGCGGGGGTGCAGACCCCTGACTGAGCATTCACCGCCGTCCTGAAACACAAACCCACACGTGCCAGGCTGTTCAGGGCCGGGGGGCTGGGGCTGCTCCTGCCCCCTGCCCAGACCCCACCCAGGAGAGCCGCCCGCCCTGTCAGCGAGGAACACCAGCAAGCCCCCGGGCCCCCAGGACCGCACAGCAGGAAGGGAAGTGGCCCTCAACAGAAGAGAAGAGGGACGCATGCATAGCCCAGCCACCAAGGTGGGCTGCTGGGGACCAGGGCACGAGCTCAGGGACCCACTGGGGACAACACAGTCTTCTGCTCAGGATCTTGCAGAGCTCCCTCACCACACAGCCCCAGTGAGAGCCCTGCTCCCCCTCCTGCTACCCACCGGCCAAAGCTGCCCGTGATGGGGTACGAGGAGACGAAGGAGCCCAGGACATTGGCAACACCTGAGGAGACAAAGGAGAGGGGCTGGGGAGGCACTGCTGTGTCTGTGTCCCCAGGACTGCCCAGATGGGGATCCCATGCAGCCCAGGGGCTGTGGGACACCCAGCCCCACCCATGCCATCCTGAGCAAGCATCTCTTACCCAGAGCCAGCAGCTCCTGGTCGGGGTCAATCCTGTAACCATTCTGCGAGGCTGAAAGGAGATGGTGGCATTGGCCTGAGGCTCACACAGGCACCTGCCATGCACACGGAGTGGAACCAGCAGCAACTGGGACACCATGGGCCTTGTCCTGGCACCCCTTGGGCACAGGAGCACCCCGAGACAACATTCACCTCCTGGGCAAATTTCATCTGTGCACCCCACAGGACCTCTCCTGCCAGCCCATGCTGTGAACTGGAGCCCAGTCCCTCCCAATGCCCAAAAGGAACAGCACCTTCCCCAGCACCCCAAGCCCTTGCAGAGACCCCTCCCCAGCACCCCAAGCCCCCGCAGAGACCCCCTGGGAGCACAGGGCAGGACCCTGGCCCAGCCCTACCAAAAGCCTTGGCGATGGCGATGGTCTCCAGCAGCCCCATGAGCGGCACCACGGCCAGCCCGACCCCCATGTCCTGGCAAGAAGAATCCAGTCAGGGCGGGCTGGGACCCAGCACACGCAGGAGGGAGCAGAGCAGCCCCTGGGGAGCTGCCAGCACCCACCTGCACCATGCTCTGGAAGGGGACGGTGCCGTTGGGCGCTGCCAGGGAGAAGCGTGGTGGCCGGAAGGCTGGCAGGCCCTGGGGGATGCTGCCGGTGAGCCTGAAGGGCTGGGAGCCCATCACCTGGAAGGAGTAAGCCACCAGGCCAGCAAACAGGACGACGAGAGCATTGCGTGCTGCCAAAGTGGAGAGAGCAACCCTGAAAGCTGCCCAGAGCCCAGGACAGCAGGAGGGGGGCAGGAGATGCACATCTGAGCTGCTGGGGACCTCCCAGCCTTAGGAGGGGGCACAGTGGCAGGAGCCTTGGGACACTGTCCTCCCTGACCCACCTCCGGGTCTTGCCTCCTGCCAGCCCGGGCTTTCCCAGCTTCAGGCTCTGCCTTCCCTGACCCAAAGAGATGAGGCCCTGGGAGGGGATGGGGCAGGGTGTCACCCTGTTCTTTTAAGAGTTTTAAAGTTCTTCTAAAAGTTTCAATGTCTTCTGATATTTACATATTTTTACTGAGTTTCCTCACACTGTTCATATAAACAATTATTGTTTTACATTCTTCTTTGTGGGTGAAGAGAATTGATGGACTGTTAGTTTGACCAGTGTGGTTGGAGAGGTGGCAGTTTCACCCTCCAATCCACTGTCACTTTTGCTACAGTATATATAGTAGAGTCAGAAAATAAAGTTTGCCTTTTTCAGTTCTTTTTCTTTTACATCTAGCCTGGTGCTTTGAGTTATTTCGTGTCACAGTGTGACAGTAGGGGACAGCTAACACACCTGTGGCAGCGATCCAGACAATCAGGTAGCTGATCCTGACAGCCAGTGGTTCTGTGGGGGCAGCTTGGGGCAGGTGGCTCTTCATGGCCCGGAGCCCTGCCAGCGTGGCCAGGCAGCTCAGCCCCAGCACAGCGTCCCCAGCCCTGCAAGAGGCACATCAGTGCCACCCCAAACACGCTGTGAGAGCTGCCACAAAGCCCGGGGCAGGGGGGTTGTGTCACAGCCGAGAAATCAGTCCAGTGAGCACAGAGATGGGGAGTGAAGCAGCTGCGGGGCAGGGAGCAGGGCAGGCTGGTGCTGACCTGGTCTCCCCGATCCTCCGCAGTGTCTCATAGAGCTGCAGGAAGAACTGCCTCGGGATGCCCTGCAGCCCCAGGATGTTCTGTGCAGGCAGACAAAGCGTGCTGGCAGACAAAGTGTGCTGGCAGCCCGGCCCAGCCTGGCCCCATGACCGCAGCCATTGGCCAACGCCAGCCTGGAGCTGCTGCCAGAGGCTCTGATTTGGGTTAACCGCAAAGGAAGTGTGGCAGCCCAGCAGAGCCTCAGGTCCCTGGGATGCCACTGAGGGGCTGCTGGGGCTGCAAACCACCCCCAGCTTCCAAATTTGCAAACTTCCAAATTTGCAAACTACCCCCAGCTTCCAATTTGCAAACCCAAATTTGCCAGAGAATCACTCAGTGCCTCTTGCAAGTGACCAAATCCCATGTCCTGGTCTTACTGGTGCCCTGGATGCCACCAGCTGGTCACCAGCAGAGGGTGTGTTCAGCTTGGTCTGCTCCGAGCACAGCGCTCAGGGACCAGCAGAACCACTGGCAGGGGGTCCCGGGACCCCTTTGGGGCTCCCTCCCCCAGCACCAAGCACATCACCCATCCCAGCGCTAAATATCCCAGTTGCACAGCACTAGGAGAGAGCTGGAGAGGCAGCCAGGACAGGGCAGGTCCTACCTTGATCTGGTTGAAGCTAATGGTGATGGAAGCAGCTGATGTAAACCCCTTAATGACAGGGCAGGAAATGAAATCCAGAAGGAATCCTGCATGGGATGGCAGGCGGTGAGCACGCTCCTGACCCCAGTGTGACAGCAGGACAATCCCAGTGTCCCGGTGAGCAGAGAGGAGGAAGGAAAAACTACGGGCTGTACAGCAATATCCTAAGCATACATCTGTGCATGGCAGGAGCATCTCACCGAGGCGCAGGAGCCCCATGGCCAGCTGAATGCAGCCAGAGAGGAAGGCGAGGAGGACGGCATAGACGGGCTGGTGGAAGGCGTATGAGGACACCAGCAGGGACATGATGGCCGTGGGACCCAGCGTCACGTCCTTGGCCGTGCCCAGGAGGCAGTAGACAAAGCAGCCCATGAAGGAGGAATAGAGGCCGTACTGCAGGGGGACAGAAGGGGCACTGGCACAGCCCTGGGAGCCGGGAGAGGCCGGACACCTCCCGGACTGGGAGGGCTGGGCCGATCTCAGGTCACTCCAGGGCCCTTGGCACACGCATGGCATCCTGCCCGGGAAATGGGCGACTGCACAGCGCCAGCCCTTGGTCACCCAGCCCAGCCCTGCCCGCCACAGTGCCGGGGCTGCTCCGGGAGCGGGATCCCGGATCACCCCGGCCAGAGGCAGCCCGGGGAGCGGCAGGACCCCGGCTCCCGGCCCCGGGCCCGGCACCCACCTGCGGCGGCAGCCCGGCCAGCTCGGCGTAGGCCAGCGCCTGGGGCACGGCGGTCAGTCCCACGGCCAGCCCGGCCAGCAGGTCCAGCGGCAGCCACGCCCGGGAGTACCGCGGCAGCCAGCGCAGCACCGGCAGCGCCGGGCGCGGACACCGGGACCCCGACATGGCCGGGACCCCGGCGCGGGCCGGGGTCGGTACCGGGAGCGGGGCGGGGCTCCGCGGGCCGGGCTCGGTACCGGGAGCGGGGCGGGACCCCGCGGGCCGGGGTCGGTACCGGGAGCGGAGCGGGACCCCGCGGGCCGGGGTCGGTACCGGGAGCGGGGCGGGGCTCCGCGGGCCGGGGTCGGTACCGGGAGCGGAGCGGGACCCCGCGGGCCGGGGCTGCGCGGAGCCGCCTCGGCACCGACCGCGGCTCCGCCCGCGCCGGATCTGAGCGGCCGGGGCGCCTCATGTGACCGGGGTGAGGAGGAGCCGGGGCGGCCGGAGGAGCCGCGGTGCCCCGCTGCCGGTGCCGGTGGCGGTGTCGGTGCCGGTGCCGGTGCCGGTGCCATGCGGCCCTGGGCGCTGGTGCTGCTGCTGGGCGCGCTCTGCCCCGGCGGAGCCGCGGCCCCGGCCCGCAATGTGCTGCTGCTCCTGGGTGAGTGCAGCCTGGCCCAGCCCCGGAGCCGGCCCGGACCCCCCTGCCCGGGGCTCGGCGCCGGGGGCATCCCGCGGCTGGGAGGGAGGGGCGGTCCCGGGCTCCTCTGCATCCCCTCCGCAGCCCGCGTGCTCCCGGTATCATCGGTGCCCCCCGCCTTGTCCCCGTGCCCGGTCAGGGACAGCCCCGGGCTGACCCCGCACCCGTCCCGCAGCCGATGACGGCGGCTTTGAGAGCGGCGCTTACAACAACTCGGTCATCCGCACGCCGAACCTGGACGCGCTGGCCCGGCGCGGGTTGGTCTTCCAGAACGCCTTCACCTCCGTGAGCAGCTGCTCCCCGAGCCGGGCCAGCATCCTGACCGGTTTACCCCAGGTAGGAACACTTGCCTGCGCCGGGCCAGGGCTGCCAGCCCACGGCAGGTGTCACGGGCACGGCTGGACGTGTTTTGGAGCTGGGCTGGCAGCCCTGGTCCGACCGTGCTGTGTCCCCTCACCTGCAGCACCAGAATGGGATGTACGGGCTGCACCAGGACGTGCATCACTTCAACTCCTTCGACGGCGTGCGGAGCCTGCCCCAGCTGCTCAGCCATGCAGGCGTCCGGACAGGTAGGAGCTGGGACAGGCAGGAGCTGGGACCGGCAGGGAACACCAAACTAAACCCCACTGACAGAGCTCCCCATGGGCAGGGGAGCCCTGCCTGGACCCGTGGCTGTCCCCACGGAGAGGAGACAGCAGCAGCCACATCCCCCCTGCACTGCTCCTGGCACAGCAGCTGTCTGTATTCTCACAGGGATAATTGGGAAGAAGCATGTGGGGCCAGGGGCTGTGTACCCCTTCGACTTTGCCTACACAGAGGAGAACAGTTCGGTCCTGCAGGTTGGGAGAAACATCACCCGGATCAAGGTGCTGGTCCGGCAGTTCCTGCAGAGCCAGGACGAGAGGTGAGACTGCTTCCTTGTCCTGGGAATCGCTGTCGGGAGGAGGGAAACTGGCTTCACTGAAGATGTGTCCCCATGACCCAGCTGGTCACAAACAGGAAGGGGCCCCTTGTCCCTGGGTTCCCCCATATCCAGATTAGGTGGAGGGTGTCCTGTTGACCCCAGCTCGCCACGTCACAGCCCAGGAAGGTCTTTGGGTGGTCCTTTGCTTCACCACCTCCACATCCTCCCTTTCCATCCCTAGGCCTTTCTTCCTCTATGTTGCCTTCCATGACCCCCACCGCTGCGGGCACTCCCAGCCCCAATATGGGGCCTTTTGTGAGAAGTTTGGCAATGGAGAGAGTGGGATGGGCTGGATCCCTGACTGGAAGCCACAGATTTACCACCCGGAGCAAGTGCAGGTGAGAACCTGTGGGTACGTGTGGGGCTCTGTGGGGCTGCAAGTGATGGCAGCCTCTGAAGGAGCCAGGGCTGCCCCCAGTTTGTCACTGCTCCCAGTGTCACAGCAAGAGCTGGTGAAGGCACAGGGGCCTGTGTCAGCCACGTGCCCCTTTCCCTGTCTCCGTTTAGGTCCCTGCCTTTGTCCCAGACACGCTGGCTGCCCGGGAGGACCTGGCTGCCCAGTACACGACCATCGGGCGCATGGACCAAGGTGGGAGCCATGGCTGGGCTGGGGCTGAGCTCTGCAGCCCATTCCTCCCCCCTGAGCTCTGCCCTTCCTCTCACAGGGATCGGGCTGGTGCTGGAGGAGCTGCGCCGTGCCGGCTTCCTCAACAGCACCCTGGTGATCTACACCTCTGACAATGGCATCCCCTTCCCCGGCGGCAGGACCAACCTCTACCGCTCGGGCACCGCCCAGCCGCTGCTCCTCTCCTCCCCTGAGCACCCCCAGCGCTGGGGGCAAGTCAGCCCGGCCTTCGCCAGCCTCCTGGGTAAGAGCTGAGGGAGGGAGGCAGCACAGCTGTGCCTGGGGGTGTGGGCTGCTCCCCACCCTCCCTACACCAAAACTCAGGGTCCTGTCCCTGGGGTCAGCCCTGAGCCCTCAGCATTGGCAGGGCCAGTGCAGGGAAGGGAGAGGAGGGAGGACAGAACAGGGTCCCCTGCAGGGACACCATCCCTGGGGACCTTTCTGCCCCTCTCTGGAGCTGAGCTTCCTCCCACAGTGCCTGTCCCTGCTCTCACCCTTTTCCTGCCCTCCAGACCTGACGCCGACCATTCTGGACTGGTTCTCCATCCCCTACCCTGCTTACAGCATCTTTGGCACCAGGCGGGTGCAGCTCACTGGAAAGTCTCTCCTGCCAGCCCTGGAGTCGGAGCAGCCCTGGGCCACCGCCTTCAGCAGCCAGAGCCACCACGAGGTGACCATGTACTACCCCATGCGAGCCATCCAGCACCAGCAGTTCCGCCTCATCCACAACCTCAACTACAAGATGCCCTTCCCCATCGACCAGGACTTCTACGTCTCGCCCACCTTCCAGGACCTGCTGAACCGCACCAGGGCGGGGCAGCCGACGCACTGGAACAAGAGCCTGCACCAGTACTACTACCGGGCCCGCTGGGAGCTCTTCGACTGCAGCCGTGACCCTGCCGAGAGCCAGAACCTGGCCCCCGACCCCCGCTACGCCAGCGTCCTGCAGCTGCTGCGTGCGCAGCTCCTCAAGTGGCAGTGGGACACGGGGGACCCCTGGGTGTGCGCCCCCGACGGTGTCCTGGAGGAGAAACTGAGCCCGCAGTGCCGGCCGCTGCACAACGAGCTGTGAGTGCCCCCTGCGCCCGGGACAGCGCCGCGCTCCTGTGGGGCACGAGGGCTCAGAGCAGGAGCGCGATGGGCTGGTCCCAAACCACGGGTGACACCACGAGGCTCTGCCCTCTGTGCTGCCAGCACCGCCCGGGCCCAGAGCACTGAGGGATTCCTGGTGCCTTGGCTCTCAGCCAGAGGAGCTAAAGGGCCAAGCTGCCCCTCAATAAAGCCTCTGGAGGATAAGGCTCCATTTTCACCTGGAGCTGAGCACACACCTGCAGCAGACCCCAGCTTGGAGGCAGCAGGACAGGCCAAGGACCTCTGTGGCACAGTCAGGGCTGCAGGAACAGCTGGGGAGCCCCAGTGCTCTGGGAAACAGGGCAAAGCCTTCAAGGGGCACATGGGGTCCCACTGGAGACCTCCAGGCAGGGACAGAGCTGGGGTGTCCCAGCCAGGGGAAGGGAGACAGGACAAGGACACGGCCTGGGGCTGCTCCCAGCAAACAGCAGCTTTATTCACAGTACTGCTCCCTCAGCCCCTGCACATCCCCCTCCCCAAAACCACAGCCAGGAAACTCCCTGTAGTTCTATGCCCCTGGTATCAGTCCCCCAGAATAACAGGTTTGCTGTCTCACAAGGCACTTGGGTCTTTTTCCCCCTGATTTGATGATGATGAGGTTTTCCCTGTCCCTGGGGGCTGTGCAAGGCTCCCCTCCCTCTGCCAGTCAGTGCACAGCCCCCCATCGATGCCCAGCAGCAGAGTGAGAACAAGGTCCAGGAAGTGTGGGAAGAGCAGGGGCAGCTTGGGGTACAGGGGATGGGATGGATTTGGCCTCGGATTCCAGGGGAGCAGCACGGCCTCTCCCTGTGAGCGATGCTGGGTCAGGACCAGGAGATCACAAACTGCTCCCACATGGGCAGTGACACAGGGACTCTCAGCACCTGAGGGGACAAAGAAGGTGAGAGCCAGCCAGGAGGGAGCCCAGGGGAATCCTGGCCCTGGCAGAGTCCCAGCCTGGCACAGCCCTGGTCCCACAGATCCCCCGGGAAGGGCACCCATGGCTCGTGCTGTGCCATCGCTGGGGCCAGACCCCGCCAGCCCCTTGGCCGCACTCCAGGTCCCTTCCTGGCCACCACCCCTTTCCAGGGTGGGAACAGGCACTCACCTGGGTGTCACTGCGGTAGGAGAAGTCACTCACGATGGCACCGTTGGCCAGGACTTGCCGGGGAGGGCTGGTGACCCCCAGCACAGTCACGGCCTGCAGCAGGACCCCGTCGAGGTGGGCGCTGCCCCGCAGCAGCTGGCTGAGCACGGCGTCCTGGGGACACGGGGATGGCACCGGGGATGGCACCGTGTGCCCCTGTCTCTCAGCCACCCCACGTGCACTCAGGGCTCCTCCAGGTGCCCTGCCCCACCTGCTGCCCCTCTGCTGGCCACTGAGCAGACACACATGTGCCAGGGCCACCAGGAGCCCCTGCCCAGACGCCCCCCGCCAGCAGCTCCCCGTGCTCACGTTGGAGGCCAGGAAGAGGATCTCTGTGTAGTCCCCCCTCTCAGAGGTCTCCCAGCTCTCCCCATCGTCCCAGAACAGGTCTCCCCTGGCGAAGCCGTCCAAGGTCAGCGCCACCACCAAGGCCATGCCCTTCCCCCGGGACTGGGCAGTGCTGAACGCGGGCTCCTGGGGCACGGGGCAGGCACAGCTCAGGGCACTGCCACAGCCGTGTCCCCTAGCCCTGCAGCCACAGCTTCTCTGGCATTGTCCTGGCAGCGGTGTGGGCACTGCCGCCCTCCCAGGCTGCTCAGACAGGTCACCCTGGTGTCACCACAGAGCAGAGGGGGCTCACCTGCAGGGGCAGGATGTGCCCTGCACGGACATGGACGTTGATGGTGTCCAGGGGTGCT